AAAAACTAGAGCAAATGTATGGGAAACTAAAAATTAGCTGAGTGTCTTCTAGCCCAGCTACGTCCTTCATATTTGGTGAATACAATCTCTTACCTACATGTAGTATGGCAAAGTTGCGTTTCATAAGTTGTGCAAAATTCAATACATGTATCTAAAAAAGTTATTTGTTATCGGATTCCCATACAAACACTGTAATTTCTGACCACTTTGCCTGCTCGCCAAGATGACGTTGAAAACCGTGATTAGGCCTCCTCGCCCACAAAGTAACAAATTTGTTTCAGATGTGAAGATCAAAGCTACAGGTGAATTAAAACTTAATGACATCCCTGCACCTTATCATTGTTCAGTCTTCCTGGTGTTGATAAATGTGATCAAATATTCAAAAATTTAAATGCTTACCTTCCGATGTCTGGAGGCAACCTGATCAGAGACACATCATTAAGACTAAGAGATGTAAGATTCTTGAGCTGTGCAAAGCCATCTGGGAGTCTGTGCAAACAATTGGCGACATTGAAAAATCATTTCATTAGCCACCATCATTACCTTTATTCAAAACATGAGGGATCGACCATACTTTTCAAGAAGGTTTTACGTTCAAGGTTGGTGGATTTAGTCCTGCATAACTGCTTAGAATTGTTGAACTAACATGTTACATAAAGAGAGCAGTTTTCATTCAAGTGTGAAAAAATAATTGGGATTATTTATACCTTGCATGGTAAATAGTCTAAGTAGTAGATGAAAATATTGTACTTTATTGTATTGTAAGTAGAGTAAGTATTGTGTCGTATTGTAAGTAGAGTAAGTAATTAATGTGTTTTGCAATAAAAAAGGAAAAAAAGTTAATTGGTTATCCAGTAATGTTAAGTTAACCATGGTTTCTTTATCAACATGAAATTAAGAAAAATAATTTAAAATGCATGTTTCTATAGTAACAATTTGCTTAAAATCTTCTAATTGAGTGCACAGAAAGTAAACAGTTCCACTGACAGAAAAAAGAACACTTAGGTCTGTACTGACTATTTCTACAAATATTTTCAGGATTTTGAAAACTCTTGCATGAACTAGGATCCAGTGACATGAACTAATAACATCAATGTAGTTTTTAACCTCACAAATCACCTTTGCTCCACTGATGTGTTGCATCAATGAAACAAGGAGTAGTTGTGCACATACTAAGTTTTCAAAGTTTCGTGTTTAATTTTTTTTTTTTGTTAATTACAGCATAATCACATGCTTTTACAGAAAATTTTTCAAGAGAATCAATCCAAATATATATAAAATCATGTTTAAGAACTTAAGAAATAATTAATACAAAAAATATCATTTGCTATTCAAATAGCCATCATAAGACTGATATACATATACCCTAAGTAGATAATTTGTCATAGAGACTTAGTGATGTAAGATACCTATATTAATTTATTAAGGAGTCTTAATATTTGGAGTTCTTTCCCAGTGAAAGCAATGCTTTTAATGTTATGAATTCTTGTAGAACCTTTGATGATATAGACCTTATGAGCTTGTTACGACTTGTATCGACAGAATGCTAATGTTGTCATTGTAAACCAATAAATTCAATACTGGAACATTCCTTGTCTAAATACCATACTCAGCTCAAAAACATAACAGGTAAATCTAGCAAATTGCAAAATAAATTATGATTATGTTCAAAATATTATCAACAGCCTGATGAATACAATGGGAAATTATAGTGGACTTTAATTGTAAGAGTTTATAGGAGTGATTGAAATAATAAGAAAAATAACTGATTTGTTCTCATGACAAATGATAAACAAAGATCATATGGCATTACTGCAAAAATGCAGACACGGAAAAAAAAAAATTTAAATGAACATGCACAGATTCACCTGTACGTGTCTCATAAACACATACATAACAACAAAGTCAAGGTGGGGGCTGTGAAGAGACTCTTGGAGAAAACAGTTATATCAAGTCCCAAGGCATTCCACAAATGCAATCTGAAGAATGCTGAATGATCATGGATAGAAAATCAGCTACGGGAAGACAACACGATTGATCAGCTTATACCAAATAACCAATACATTTGATTACAAGGAAAGCATTTGAACTCTGGGCTATCGGAACTGCATTTGGGTAAGCTGGCCAGCGTAGCACACTCCACTGAGCGGAAAGCTCTTAATTGAATAGGACAAGAATCACGCTAGTGAGACATTTGTTTATGGTTCCTAATTTGCATCTATACACTCAGTCAGAACAAATCCGGCCAAAGAAATCAATGTGCTGCCATTTTTGCAAAGTTTTTGCAGTTAATCAAGCATCTGTTTCAAATCTAGTTCGTCCTAACATGGCCTGCTCCCTAGACGGGTGAAGATTTTTGTCCAATTTTGAGATAAATTAATCAATTACACGTTGAAATGAAATCGGGCAACACGAAATTAGCATGGCATTTCCGACATTTGCCACGAGAGCCGGTGGAGTAAATTTGTTTCTAAACCCACGCAAATCTCTCCAGCCATGAGATTTTCTTTGAATCAAATTCTCAAACAACACTTAAACGAGAATTGGGAATAACCTGACTAGTAAACTCGGCGACACTAAAAGGCAACAAAAAGAAAGTGCAACACTTCAAATAGTGTCATTGCCTCTGAGTTAAACTGAGGTACAATACAGCCCCTTATAGGAGTAACAGCTAACGACTACAGCAGGAAACAGCAATTATTGTAGTAAAAATCTAGAACGATAATGGACAAGTGATCGCTTGTTCTCGAAGGCCATGATTTGAACGTCTTCACTAGGTACACACACCGACCCAGTCGAAAGGTAGCTCTGCCGAAACTTTCAGACGGTTCGAATTTTGAACACACAACACATTCATTTTGTGAAGAAATTCTGAGGTGTAGTTTAGTTTAAAATATTACTGCGGAAATCCCATCACAGAAAAGGAAGAAGACATAAACCTAAATTAATAAAATGGTGAAAGCCTTACTGATTGATCATTAGTTCCATTTCTTGAAACCGGTTCGATTTTCTCGCGTGAGGTGGAACTCACAGAAATTAAGAAGACTTATAACTGACAATATTATCAAACTAAACACAAATAACGAAACAGCTAAGTCTCTTCAAACACTAAATTCCCCTAATATACCTCAAAAAGGTGAGTGCTTTGCAATGTGGTATAAAATCTAACATACTGCCGGATAGTTAATGTATGTGATTTGCAAGCATACAAGTTTTACAGACTGGCTAAAACATAAACAAGACTAACTGGATACAAAGTTGAAAGGTGATTGACTTTTAAAAGGTAACTTTTACAACTATTTTCAGCACTAGTAAAAGTCTCACCACGTTGCTCTTGAACAATAAACCACAGAAATCTCACACAGTATTTGACAAAGATAATTACAACACAGCACTCACTTCGAAACCGGATTGCCACTGAGATCTAACGTGAGAAGACTCTTGCAGAACTTTATGTTGTCCGGGATATCGCAAATATCTGAACGAAAAAAAATCCAGAGATTTATCAGAAGGCTATAACACTTAAACATGGTGTAACTCTCTAACAACACGTACAGAAGCATACAACAACTCGAAGCTATAAGATCAAGTGTGAACAATATCAACATTTATTTCATACCGTATCTCACCCGCTCTATACACACACAAATACTGCACTGCCCTCGTCGGTTTAGAAGATTTCAAAGAAGTAACTATTTTGCAAAGGTCTGTTAAAAGACATATCTTACCATTCCTACTGATATCAAACTCCTGAAGGTTCGCTAAGTTACCAACTTCTGGAGGTAAACGGGCGATCTCGTTGTCGCTTAAACCTAATCTCCGCAGATTGTACAAACGAAAGAAGGGCTGTGGAAGCAGAGAAAAAAACACAAGTTATAAACGCGCCGATTAATATAATCGTCTTTAAGAAGCTTCGTTATTACCCTTGGAAGATCCTTGATTTGATTAGCATCGAGAAACAGCTCCTCTAAGGATCTATCATAGCGGTAAACTTCGTCGGGAACGAAAGTAAGACTGCAGTGACTTCGGTCAAGAGAATCGACCTGGCGATTACAACGCCATGGTAAACAACGAAACATTTCCACGCCGGGATCAAGTTCAAGGTTTTAACGCTGTTCGATGGCAGTGGAACATTCAGTAATTGTTAAAATGCGTTGTTACAACGAGTAGAATACGCTAGTCAGCCTCTGAGAGATTTTGTTTCTTATCATTTTGAGAAGACACGCTCAGAATCAACACCGTGTGACGTCACGACAGCCGCCGTTCCTCCTGCCCCACAATGCATCTCGGTAGGAATTTTCGCAAAGGCATATGGGAAAATATCGGGGTGTGAGCCTGCAGTAACCCGCGTTCAAACCCTTCCTCCCCTCCCTTCCTCCCTTCCGCGACCCTACCTCCCTCCTCCCTCCCTCCCTACCTCCTTCCCTCTAATCAGACCCTTAGCAAAAAGGAAAAAGAAAGAAAGAAAAAAATAAAAAAGGCTTGACCATAATATATTTATTTTCAAACATTTTTCCTTGACTGCAACTTGCATTTTAAACCAGTTTCCTGTAGTGCACATACCGTGGAATGGAATGTTGCGACAGCAAATATCTGTCTAAATTGACGCAATGATTTAATTGATGACGTCCCGACAAACGACATAATTTATGCTAATTATCAATTGACTTCATTTACACAATTTTGGTATGCAAAGAAAATATGAACTTTTTAAGGGGAGAATTTAAGCTTGGTGGCAGGTTCCAAGAACTTTTGAATTGTTGGGCATTTTGATGACAAGACAAGTCAAGTCTGTACAGTAATTAAGTAGCAAAGCCACGACAACATGGTTCTTTTAGAATTTTTCAACTGGGTATTTGAGCTTCCTTCATCTGCGAGTGGAACATTGCCAACACCGATACAAAACTCGACTGAAACTGGTTGGTTTTACTCAACAATCATTTGTCTTATTGTTGGAGCTGTCTTCATTTTATTTAGTTGCATCTACGCGTTTGTTGCCGAGGCAATAAAATGTACAGGGAGATTTGCGACACCGCAGTTTCCCGCTATTCTGAGTTACAAGAAAAAGAAAATTAAGCATCGAAAATCAAAGAAACCAAGTCAAAAGCGGCTAACTAAAGCACAGAGATTGCTGGAGGTAAACAAAAGATGGTCAGCTATGTACTGTTCGGACAATTCAGATTGCGAAGAGCCTGACGACATTGCAACCGTGCCGTTCGGAAGCCTTGAGATAACAGAAGTTAAAAAGGTCAGTTTTAGAGATACCATTGAAGATGTGTACTTTATTGAGAGCAAGGAGGAAATGAAAAGACTGGAAGAGTTACAGAGCATGGGCTATGACGTCACTATCGAGAGGCCTAAGCCTTCCGCGCGCGATCGCGCGTGCAAGAAGGCAACAGAAGCTGCGGTCTTCGAGGAGAAGGAAACCGTGTTGGCTCCAGGCATGTGTTCAACTTTTGACAATTATAGTGACAAAATAGCGTTAAAGAAATTGATTGATGCTAAAAACTCTCAAATGGGGGATGCTAAAATAGGCTCGTACGAGAACCGAATTTTCAAAGATGAAGAAAGACTGCTAGAGATACCATTGTTACGTGAGAGCACTGTTTAGGGACAAGACATCAAGGCGAAACGCATTGCGTATTTTTGAAGTCTCTGGTCTCAGGACCTGTTCAGCTCAACTGGGACACAAACGAAACGAAGCTTTTATGTTACATAACATAGAATTGAACAGTCACAGAATTGACTGAACTACAGTATCGTATAAACTCTTAATTTATCATTGTGATTTCTTCCGTTCTTGAAAAGTTTTCATTGAATCTGTTCATGTATTATTGGTTTTGGTTCTTTTATGGGGAACCTGGAACAAGCGACCAACCTCGACATCATGTGGAGGACGACGGCGTCTGAAGTCGTGGAAGAGGAACGATGTAAGCGAGATCATGCGAGCCCGCGTGGTACAGTGGTCAATGGAAGATCAGACATGCACCTTGACACACTGATTCTTGCTCCATGAAAATAACTTCCTGGTCGCAAAATCAGTCCGGAAATAATTCTCTGATTAGGCGATAGGGATTACCCTATTGCTCAACTGAACTGCGCGATTACTAAGTACATGATTTTGAGAAAAACAATGCATTCTGGTCAATAAACAAATAAATGAAATATTTTAACTCAATCCAGCCAGCTTAAAATTACAGTTAGAGAAAATCTCGGGAATTCTAGAATCTCGTGTTTCCTCGTGCCAAGGCCCCGCGGGTTAAGAGTGACACAGGTGGCTCTGGGGGTCACATGCACGAGTGGTGTCCTAGTGGTGAGCAAAGTGACCGAAACGCGAGCCTGCTCACAGGCTTGTATGAAAATAAACCTGGGTGGGAATCGAATGTGAAACGTATTCAGGTCGCAACGGANAAAAACTAGAGCAAATGTATGGGAAACTAAAAATTAGCTGAGTGTCTTCTAGCCCAGCTACGTCCTTCATATTTGGTGAATACAATCTCTTACCTACATGTAGTATGGCAAAGTTGCGTTTCATAAGTTGTGCAAAATTCAATACATGTATCTAAAAAAGTTATTTGTTATCGGATTCCCATACAAACACTGTAATTTCTGACCACTTTGCCTGCTCGCCAAGATGACGTTGAAAACCGTGATTAGGCCTCCTCGCCCACAAAGTAACAAATTTGTTTCAGATGTGAAGATCAAAGCTACAGGTGAATTAAAACTTAATGACATCCCTGCACCTTATCATTGTTCAGTCTTCCTGGTGTTGATAAATGTGATCAAATATTCAAAAATTTAAATGCTTACCTTCCGATGTCTGGAGGCAACCTGATCAGAGACACATCATTAAGACTAAGAGATGTAAGATTCTTGAGCTGTGCAAAGCCATCTGGGAGTCTGTGCAAACAATTGGCGACATTGAAAAATCATTTCATTAGCCACCATCATTACCTTTATTCAAAACATGAGGGATCGACCATACTTTTCAAGAAGGTTTTACGTTCAAGGTTGGTGGATTTAGTCCTGCATAACTGCTTAGAATTGTTGAACTAACATGTTACATAAAGAGAGCAGTTTTCATTCAAGTGTGAAAAAATAATTGGGATTATTTATACCTTGCATGGTAAATAGTCTAAGTAGTAGATGAAAATATTGTACTTTATTGTATTGTAAGTAGAGTAAGTATTGTGTCGTATTGTAAGTAGAGTAAGTAATTAATGTGTTTTGCAATAAAAAAGGAAAAAAAGTTAATTGGTTATCCAGTAATGTTAAGTTAACCATGGTTTCTTTATCAACATGAAATTAAGAAAAATAATTTAAAATGCATGTTTCTATAGTAACAATTTGCTTAAAATCTTCTAATTGAGTGCACAGAAAGTAAACAGTTCCACTGACAGAAAAAAGAACACTTAGGTCTGTACTGACTATTTCTACAAATATTTTCAGGATTTTGAAAACTCTTGCATGAACTAGGATCCAGTGACATGAACTAATAACATCAATGTAGTTTTTAACCTCACAAATCACCTTTGCTCCACTGATGTGTTGCATCAATGAAACAAGGAGTAGTTGTGCACATACTAAGTTTTCAAAGTTTCGTGTTTAATTTTTTTTTTTTGTTAATTACAGCATAATCACATGCTTTTACAGAAAATTTTTCAAGAGAATCAATCCAAATATATATAAAATCATGTTTAAGAACTTAAGAAATAATTAATACAAAAAATATCATTTGCTATTCAAATAGCCATCATAAGACTGATATACATATACCCTAAGTAGATAATTTGTCATAGAGACTTAGTGATGTAAGATACCTATATTAATTTATTAAGGAGTCTTAATATTTGGAGTTCTTTCCCAGTGAAAGCAATGCTTTTAATGTTATGAATTCTTGTAGAACCTTTGATGATATAGACCTTATGAGCTTGTTACGACTTGTATCGACAGAATGCTAATGTTGTCATTGTAAACCAATAAATTCAATACTGGAACATTCCTTGTCTAAATACCATACTCAGCTCAAAAAAATAACAGGTAAATCTAGCAAATTGCAAAATAAATTATGATTATGTTCAAAATATTATCAACAGCCTGATGAATACAATGGGAAATTATAGTGGACTTTAATTGTAAGAGTTTATAGGAGTGATTGAAATAATAAGAAAAATAACTGATTTGTTCTCATGACAAATGATAAACAAAGATCATATGGCATTACTGCAAAAATGCAGACACGGAAAAAAAAAAATTTAAATGAACATGCACAGATTCACCTGTACGTGTCTCATAAACACATACATAACAACAAAGTCAAGGTGGGGGCTGTGAAGAGACTCTTGGAGAAAACAGTTATATCAAGTCCCAAGGCATTCCACAAATGCAATCTGAAGAATGCTGAATGATCATGGATAGAAAATCAGCTACGGGAAGACAACACGATTGATCAGCTTATACCAAATAACCAATACATTTGATTACAAGGAAAGCATTTGAACTCTGGGCTATCGGAACTGCATTTGGGTAAGCTGGCCAGCGTAGCACACTCCACTGAGCGGAAAGCTCTTAATTGAATAGGACAAGAATCACGCTAGTGAGACATTTGTTTATGGTTCCTAATTTGCATCTATACACTCAGTCAGAACAAATCCGGCCAAAGAAATCAATGTGCTGCCATTTTTGCAAAGTTTTTGCAGTTAATCAAGCATCTGTTTCAAATCTAGTTCGTCCTAACATGGCCTGCTCCCTAGACGGGTGAAGATTTTTGTCCAATTTTGAGATAAATTAATCAATTACACGTTGAAATGAAATCGGGCAACACGAAATTAGCATGGCATTTCCGACATTTGCCACGAGAGCCGGTGGAGTAAATTTGTTTCTAAACCCACGCAAATCTCTCCAGCCATGAGATTTTCTTTGAATCAAATTCTCAAACAACACTTAAACGAGAATTGGGAATAACCTGACTAGTAAACTCGGCGACACTAAAAGGCAACAAAAAGAAAGTGCAACACTTCAAATAGTGTCATTGCCTCTGAGTTAAACTGAGGTACAATACAGCCCCTTATAGGAGTAACAGCTAACGACTACAGCAGGAAACAGCAATTATTGTAGTAAAAATCTAGAACGATAATGGACAAGTGATCGCTTGTTCTCGAAGGCCATGATTTGAACGTCTTCACTAGGTACACACACCGACCCAGTCGAAAGGTAGCTCTGCCGAAACTTTCAGACGGTTCGAATTTTGAACACACAACACATTCATTTTGTGAAGAAATTCTGAGGTGTAGTTTAGTTTAAAATATTACTGCGGAAATCCCATCACAGAAAAGGAAGAAGACATAAACCTAAATTAATAAAATGGTGAAAGCCTTACTGATTGATCATTAGTTCCATTTCTTGAAACCGGTTCGATTTTCTCGCGTGAGGTGGAACTCACAGAAATTAAGAAGACTTATAACTGACAATATTATCAAACTAAACACAAATAACGAAACAGCTAAGTCTCTTCAAACACTAAATTCCCCTAATATACCTCAAAAAGGTGAGTGCTTTGCAATGTGGTATAAAATCTAACATACTGCCGGATAGTTAATGTATGTGATTTGCAAGCATACAAGTTTTACAGACTGGCTAAAACATAAACAAGACTAACTGGATACAAAGTTGAAAGGTGATTGACTTTTAAAAGGTAACTTTTACAACTATTTTCAGCACTAGTAAAAGTCTCACCACGTTGCTCTTGAACAATAAACCACAGAAATCTCACACAGTATTTGACAAAGATAATTACAACACAGCACTCACTTCGAAACCGGATTGCCACTGAGATCTAACGTGAGAAGACTCTTGCAGAACTTTATGTTGTCCGGGATATCGCAAATATCTGAACGAAAAAAAATCCAGAGATTTATCAGAAGGCTATAACACTTAAACATGGTGTAACTCTCTAACAACACGTACAGAAGCATACAACAACTCGAAGCTATAAGATCAAGTGTGAACAATATCAACATTTATTTCATACCGTATCTCACCCGCTCTATACACACACAAATACTGCACTGCCCTCGTCGGTTTAGAAGATTTCAAAGAAGTAACTATTTTGCAAAGGTCTGTTAAAAGACATATCTTACCATTCCTGCTGATATCAAACTCCTGAAGGTTCGCTAAGTTACCAACTTCTGGAGGTAAACGGGCGATCTCGTTGTCGCTTAAACCTAATCTCCGCAGATTGTACAAACGAAAGAAGGGCTGTGGAAGCAGAGAAAAAAACACAAGTTATAAACGCGCCGATTAATATAATCGTCTTTAAGAAGCTTCGTTATTACCCTTGGAAGATCCTTGATTTGATTAGCATCGAGAAACAGCTCCTCTAAGGATCTATCATAGCGGTAAACTTCGTCGGGAACGAAAGTAAGACTGCAGTGACTTCGGTCAAGAGAATCGACCTGGCGATTACAACGCCATGGTAAACAACGAAACATTTCCACGCCGGGATCAAGTTCAAGGTTTTAACGCTGTTCGATGGCAGTGGAACATTCAGTAATTGTTAAAATGCGTTGTTACAACGAGTAGAATACGCTAGTCAGCCTCTGAGAGATTTTGTTTCTTATCATTTTGAGAAGACACGCTCAGAATCAACACCGTGTGACGTCACGACAGCCGCCGTTCCTCCTGCCCCACAATGCATCTCGGTAGGAATTTTCGCAAAGGCATATGGGAAAATATCGGGGTGTGAGCCTGCAGTAACCCGCGTTCAAACCCTTCCTCCCCTCCCTTCCTCCCTTCCGCGACCCTACCTCCCTCCTCCCTCCCTCCCTACCTCCTTCCCTCTAATCAGACCCTTAGCAAAAAGGAAAAAGAAAGAAAGAAAAAAATAAAAAAGGCTTGACCATAATATATTTATTTTCAAACATTTTTCCTTGACTGCAACTTGCATTTTAAACCAGTTTCCTGTAGTGCACATACCGTGGAATGGAATGTTGCGACAGCAAATATCTGTCTAAATTGACGCAATGATTTAATTGATGACGTCCCGACAAACGACATAATTTATGCTAATTATCAATTGACTTCATTTACACAATTTTGTTATGCAAAGAAAATATGAACTTTTTAAGGGGAGAATTTAAGCTTGGTGGCAGGTTCCAAGAACTTTTGAATTGTTGGGCATTTTGATGACAAGACAAGTCAAGTCTGTACAGTAATTAAGTAGCAAAGCCACGACAACATGGTTCTTTTAGAATTTTTCAACTGGGTATTTGAGCTTCCTTCATCTGCGAGTGGAACATTGCCAACACCGATACAAAACTCGACTGAAACTGGTTGGTTTTACTCAACAATCATTTGTCTTATTGTTGGAGCTGTCTTCATTTTATTTAGTTGCATCTACGCGTTTGTTGCCGAGGCAATAAAATGTACAAGGAGATTTGCGACACCGCAGTTTCCCGCTATTCTGAGTTACAAGAAAAAGAAAATTAAGCATCGAAAATCAAAGAAACCAAGTCAAAAGCGGCTAACTAAAGCACAGAGATTGCTGGAGGTAAACAAAAGATGGTCAGCTATGTACTGTTCGGACAATTCAGATTGCGAAGAGCCTGACGACATTGCAACCGTGCCGTTCGGAAGCCTTGAGATAACAGAAGTTAAAAAGGTCAGTTTTAGAGATACCATTGAAGATGTGTACTTTATTGAGAGCAAGGAGGAAATGAAAAGACTGGAAGAGTTACAGAGCATGGGCTATGACGTCACTATCGAGAGGCCTAAGCCTTCCGCGCGCGATCGCGCGTGCAAGAAGGCAACAGAAGCTGCGGTCTTCGAGGAGAAGGAAACCGTGTTGGCTCCAGGCATGTGTTCAACTTTTGACAATTATAGTGACAAAATAGCGTTAAAGAAATTGATTGATGCTAAAAACTCTCAAATGGGGGATGCTAAAATAGGCTCGTACGAGAACCGAATTTTCAAAGATGAAGAAAGACTGCTAGAGATACCATTGTTACGTGAGAGCACTGTTTAGGGACAAGACATCAAGGCGAAACGCATTGCGTATTTTTGAAGTCTCTGGTCTCAGGACCTGTTCAGCTCAACTGGGACACAAACGAAACGAAGCTTTTATGTTACATAACATAGAATTGAACAGTCACAGAATTGACTGAACTACAGTATCGTATAAACTCTTAATTTATCATTGTGATTTCTTCCGTTCTTGAAAAGTTTTCATTGAATCTGTTCATGTATTATTGGTTTTGGTTCTTTTATGGGGAACCTGGAACAAGCGACCAACCTCGACATCATGTGGAGGACGACGGCGTCTGAAGTCGTGGAAGAGGAACGATGTAAGCGAGATCATGCGAGCCCGCGTGGTACAGTGGTCAATGGAAGATCAGACATGCACCTTGACACACTGATTCTTGCTCCATGAAAATAACTTCCTGGTCGCAAAATCAGTCCGGAAATAATTCTCTGATTAGGCGATAGGGATTACCCTATTGCTCAACTGAACTGCGCGATTACTAAGTACATGATTTTGAGAAAAACAATGCATTCTGGTCAATAAACAAATAAATGAAATATTTTAACTCAATCCAGCCAGCTTAAAATTACAGTTAGAGAAAATCTCGGGAATTCTAGAATCTCGTGTTTCCTCGTGCCAAGGCCCCGCGGGTTAAGAGTGACACAGGTGGCTCTGGGGGTCACATGCACGAGTGGTGTCCTAGTGGTGAGCAAAGTGACCGAAACGCGAGCCTGCTCACAGGCTTGTATGAAAATAAACCTGGGTGGGGATCGAATGTGAAACGTATTCAGGTCGCAACGGAGAAAGCATTACAAAATCATAATAATTCTCGCGTACTGTCTTGAAGTAAAACGTCTATAGGGTAGAAAACGCTCGAAAAGCCATCGAATTAATGGTGGTCCCATGTGAAAAGGAGGGAAAGGAAGCAACAAAATCAGTGGAAAGATAATGTCCAGCGTTGAATCCAGTAAAGGGAAACGAAGGGCCTAGTCTCCCCCTTTTTATGCGACAAAGTACGGGCCAAATGAGGGCCAGTAAAAGATATTTTCGTCAGGTAATTTTTTCATTCAACTGTGATAGAATCGAGATACCAACACCAAACAGTTGAGGTGTAGTTGTTGACCACACAGAAGGTGAACATGTTGGCTTTTTATCTCATTGAATCTCTTCTCCTTGTCCAAAAAATCAGCAAAACTCAGTTTTCAGTTTACAAAAACTCAATCCCACGACAGAAGCCACACCGATATGACAGCATGATAATGTTTAAACCCCCGGGGGGGGCACTCCCATATAAAAAGGTCGGGGGTGCTCGTCGCACCTTTTAGGGGTTAAAAAAGCAGTTTTGGTAGGCACGGCGGAAAAACCGCTGCTCATGCGCAGTAGATTTCGG